AGTCTTTTCCTGTTCAAAGAGAGAGAGTTATGCATGTTATGTATTTTCTTTTCCTGTAATTTTAAATCTAACATAGGGTTAGATTTAATTTGACAAACTATCCTTTCTCTATCCTAACCAAATATTTCTTTCAAAACTCCTGCAACAAGCACACAACACTAATATGCATGACATTATATAGACATATCAATACAACTTTAATACACATTTATCGTTCTGCGCCAACCACTTATAAGCAATTTTATTCATGATTTTACTGGCAAGTTAAGTGGCAAAGTTATTAATAGTAATACTACTAAACATTTACTAGATATAATTTTGTTCTTATTGTCTTTCAAATATTTTTTTTGCTTGTTTAATTTTTAATTTTCACTAATTTTCTAGAAAATTGCAGAAGCCAAATTATGTCTTCACACCTTTTGAGTGTATAGAAGCACATAGTAATAATAACCATAATTAAATAATCCAGGCAAAATGAATAAAGTTCAAAGTAAAATATGAAAATATTTGGCAAATAGCTGGGGAAGAATGGAAGAGAAAAAAAGGGTAGCTACTAGAATGACCTTTTTATATTATTTTTAATATAAATGTAAACATGTAAAAGTCCTCTACATATGCATATGTATCTTTTTGTTTTTGATTTTACTTAATAAAGAGGTGTATTTTTTAAAAAATACAAAAAAACAATAGTTTTTTTACATTGCATATTTTTCAACAAGAATCTTTTAAAAATGACTTCACTGCATTTATGCTGTTAGAGATGCAATGAAATTAATGCTTTATTTTGACTTCTGGACAAAAAAAATGGACTTGTAATCAAAAAGTTTATTCTTCAGCTGTGGAAAGACAAACTATTTAGTGGTTTACAGAATTGATTAACATACAGTGATGCTTAAAAGTTTGTGAACCATTTTCAAAGTCCTTAGAAGTCTCCTTTGTTCAAGCCATGATGCACCTCCACATATTTATCTTATGAAGATCAAACTTTGATAGTGAATACCCCCAATTCTGTTCTTTAAATAAGGCAGGACCTCTCACAGACACCTGATTATCATTCCATAGATTAAAGCAGGCAGCCTTAATTTCCTATGAAATTAGGAAATACTAACTTCAAATGAACTGATAATCCTAGAGATTTTTAGGCTTTTGAAATAAAATGAACACCCTTGTCTGGGGAACCTTTTTGGTAACTCCTTGTTAAATACCATTTGTTATATTACCTTCATTACCTTCAAGCTAGTAAGCAAGGCATAATATGAACTGGGTAAAACTATTATGTATTCAGAATCTGGGAGGAGTTGATGACTCTTGGCTAACTTTTTTATCTTTTGGGTCCATATTTTCCCATGAATTCTCAAGGTACGGAGGTTTCTCTGCTGCTCAGAACGTCTACCCAGAGCTTAAAATATCCTATATAACAGAGTTCCCCATCCTTTCCAGCTCGGGGGGGGGCAGGGCAGAGGGGATGGGTTCGCGTGTGTTCATGCCGCTTTCACAAATGCAGCTGTGTACAGAATACATGTGGATGTGTGCTCGCCCACCACCTCTGCAGCTCAGTTCCGAATGGGTTGCGGCCTGGGGCTTGGGGCCCCCCCTCCTATATAAGGTACCTGTGTGACTGTTTGTGGGTGTGGATAAGGGGGAGAACACCTTTGCTCCATGGGAAGAATGGAACAGAAGAATTTCCACTAGCCTTACATAAAGACTATCCTTTTGTTGAGAGCTGGGAACAGCCATCTATCATCAAAGTGGGTGATTGATGAACTTTGGTTAATATTCATCAATCTTATTGCGACATCTGGTGATTCCAGCACCAAAGCTAAGATCAGATGCCATCTACTAACCAGAATCTTATCTCTCCATCAACCATCGTAATGATATAAGGTTACAAAGGGAACTTATGTCGTGCATGCTCTTCTTTATCAGGCAGATACAATTAAGTTCTTAAGAGTCCCACGTAACACCTTTCCCAGATTGGATGGTTTTCTTATTCCTCTCTTTCCATAAACCTTCTTAATATTATAAAAACAAAGTTGCTAGAAGAAAGAGAAAGAAATTAACAGAATGGAAAAAGAGTTATAAGGGGAAAAAAACACCATCCTGCCCTTTATTCAATAAGAATTAAGATAAAACGGTTCTGATATTCCATTTCCTATTTTGTATAAATACCTTGTTAGCTAAATTGTCTTCTAGATATGCAATTCTTTCAGTTTTTTCATCTATGCTTTCCTGAAGGCTATCTTTTTCCTTATCCAAGGCATTAACAGTACTTCTGAGCAGAATGACAGTCTCACTTTGCGATGAGCTCTTAGTATTGAGTGTATCTGAAAACAGCAAAAAAACAAAAGTTTTAGTTGGTTCACTTGCTTTGACCATGTAAAACTCTAACCCCTGTAAGCACACCAGTATTGATGTATTTGTTCTGGGTTCCTGTGTTCTGGATTATGAGACTGTGGTTGATAAATTCTCTTATTGCTACACTCAACAAATGATTGGGGAAGAATAGTCAGTCATCCCAATTTAACTGAAAAGTATGTTAAAGCTTTGCTTTTTACAAAACTTCTGCTGTTTGCTAATTTCAAACCAGATATGTGACCTTGAAAAGTTAAAATCCTGGTGAAGTTTGGAAATATCTGTCAGAGAATGGCTGCCATTTTGACTTTTAGGTTTTTTCCCCCCCCTAAGTACTATTTGCTTTTTTAAAATGTATGAAGATGTCAGCTCTATGATGACTCTGGGCAGTGTAAAATAAAAACACCAAGAAAATATAGTTTGATTTTTATAATCTACATAGAGATTATAAAAACATCAAGAAAACATAAATTATAAAAATAGGACGGCCCAAAATCTAGAAAAGCAATAAACAAACAAGAAACGTTATATTTCAGATAAATGTAGCTTGTAATCTACACTGCATAATTATTAATGGCATTCTCTCTCTTTCATTAAGTATACTTTGAGGTACTGAAACAAATGGGATTTGTTTTTGCTTTTTTCTTAATTAAGCTTTAGAATCTGTAATACACATAATCAGAATTTTTTAAAATGCTAATGGAATTATAGCAGAGGGCAGAGCAAAACAATGTACTCAATGCAGATTATACTATACTATTATATTATACTCATACATGAGTATGGTATTCTATCCAATTACTCTATGAATTGGAGCAAACTAGACTTGATGCCCTCAGTTGTATTCTAGCTTTTGTTTAAGATAAGAATTCCCAAAACTTTTATCCCACCCTCTTATTCAAAGATAAAAGACTAGAAGTGTCTATAATTCCTTCTGAGTATTTCTGATGTCAGCATTTGAATATTTTTTCTGATAAAGAGGCAAAAATGACATTCAAGAAATATGTTCACATTTTTGTAGTTGTTTATACAAAGCCTTTTTATACTTAATTTTGAATCACTTTTCATTAATATTGTTGCATCTATACATTTACTATTAACTAATTTGAATAATATAAACTTTACAAAATACATGAAGAAGAAAGTCCAGCAACTAGAATAAATTCAGCCTGAATGCTAAATTCAGCCTCAAGTTTGAACCAAAAAATTACTTGTCTTATTTATGTTCTGTTTACTCCTGTTAAAACCTGACTGTGAATGATTTTGTGCAGAACTGAACTAGATTATTTGTACTTTTTTTCTTAATAATACAGTACAACTTCATTCACCTATTTTGTTCTCTAATATCTCAATTTCCTCTTGAGCTGATTGAAGTTCATTTTCTTTAAAAGACAGTTGGTGCTGTATCTCATCTAGGGATTTCTGAATCTGTTCATTTAATAGTCTGTAAAATCAAGACAGTTACGTTAAATATAATATTGGCCACAGGATATGAATCCATTTATACTGTACAGTATCTTCAGTGGGTATTATAATTTATAAAGAAATAGTGAGCTAGATTGAATAAAAGAGCAATCAATGCTATACCTTTTTTTCTAGACTTCCCAGAATGAAAAATCATGTTTTCCAAAACCGTCCTTTTAATTTTCGTAGGAATGAATATCACCAAATATAATTACATAATTGAAACTGAATGACATTGCTTTTAAGAGATACACCCCCACTTTCCAATGAAATAGACTGTTACCAATTAGGTAACATCCTCAGTGTGAACGAGTATGGAATTTGCTGTCTGTTTATATTCACTAGCTTGCCCTGCCACTTAATATTAATCCCTGCGTATCTGAGCACATAAACCCTAAATTTCGGCTTATCACCATCTAGGAACTCACACATAAGAAATATCTGTGTTATTAATCACTGGATCAATATTAATTTCTAGAACATGTAAATTAATATAAACTTTTTCTAAACAAATTCAGCATACGTTTTTCTTACTGTTCAGTCAGATTAGCCATATTATTACTTCCAGTTTGATTATCAGGCAAATGCAAAGTGGAGTCCTCTTTTTTAGGGGCATATCACCGAAGCCACAGCATCAAATGAATTGCAAATGCACATTTAATCGTTATAAAATACATAGCTGAGCTTACTTTAATGAACTCAATTCTGTCTTATACTGTGAAGAATCTTCAGATGTGTTTAAGAGTTGATGAGTCTTAATGCTTAGTTCATCTTCCAAAGAGCTTATTTTGTCTTTTAACAATGACACTGTAGATATTTGATCAAGACGTTCTGTCTCCAACTGCAGAGCAAAAGAAATTCCAAACCTGCGTGACATTTTTAAACTGAATGTATTTTAGAGACTGCAATTTAAAGCAGTCCTTCACAGTATGCTCCACTAAAATGATAGTAAGGATCAATGGCAGTGAAATCCACAATAAGGTAAATTGCCTTGTAGTAACAGGAATTATACACACACACACACACACACACACACACATGGCCCCTATGATTTCTTTTCAAATAATCATGAAATAGTGACTACATAAAAAAAATATGGCTCCAAATCCAATCAGAATATTTGGGCTAAATACTTACTCTTTTCAGAGTGCTTTCCAATCTTGATACTTCCTGTTCCAATTTTAATTTATCTAAAGTATATTCCTCCTGCTGGATCTAGCAAAACAAAGTAAGACAGATCAGTAATGAGCCCTTTCATTAATAATGTTAAAATATCCCCAATTATCCTAACTGCATTTTGGATTAAAAATTTTTAAACTTGACAATGAAACGACTTAACGGTACATGACTGTCAAAAGGAAAATGGCATCTATTTTGTTTTCCTTTAGAACCACAAATATAGTTGAAATAAGAAGCAAAACAAAAAAGCGGAATAACTTATTAATTCAAAGTGAGCATGTATTTTTGTTTCTTGCTTCACTGCATAACCTCTGCATAACACCTTGAACTTCATACAAGCAATTTACTACAGTAGCAGTCCCCAATCTTTTCTGGTTCTGCAGACTGATAGTGACAGTGGCAGGGGGATGGGAAGAGGGGATGGTTTTGCATGAAGCTGCACCATCGTTTGTATGGCCTGGTTCCCAACAGAACCCCTGTATTAGAGAAAAAAGTACTTATTTTGATATAGATTAAATCTGGTACCTAGAATTTATGAACAGAAGATGTAGCATGTGTGAAAATTGTTTTCAGATTTTAATTGCTTCCTTCATATGCAGACTTTTTTTATTTAGCATAATTTTATTAACGTGAGGGATGCATTCCTATTTTAATACTTTTATTATATCAAACTAAATTAAAAAAAGAAAAATGCATACATCTACAATTAACAAGATAATATAGTCTTAAAATTAATAATCATAGTAATAAAAATTGTTAAAAGCTGGGAAAAAGAACTAGTCCAAGAAGTTGACTACATTGCTCAAAGGTATTCTCCCTAACTTCTTTGTTAAAAAGTTCCCCAAATGTTTATTTATTTGATTTATATGCCACTTATCTCACTCTGCATAGCAACTCTCAACTCAAATGTTGACAAACAATATACTGTATATCAACAATCAATTATTGCAAATCAGCTGTAAATTTCTCTTTCTAATGTTGCCTAACATTTAACAATGCCCCAAACCAAAAAAAATTACAACAGAAATTTTTTGCCATTTTGAGAATTTGGGCCAAATTAACATTTGGCCCAAATTCTCAAAAAATGGCAACATTTTTCTGTTGTAATTTTTTGGGCCTGGGGCATTGTTAAATGTTAGGCAACATTGGAAAAAGAAAGTTTTAGCAATACTCTTAACATAATGCTTATAAAATAAAATAAAATGCACTTTTTGAAATCCTTATGATGTTATCAGTAATAGTCTGAAGTTACAGGACCCAGAGATAGCCATTTTAAATAAGAAACCAGATCAAAATTATTTCAGTACTGAAAACTACAGAAAATATTAAAAGCTGACCTTTAATTTCTCCCTTAGTCCTTCTTTCTCTGATACTACTCTTCTAAAATCAGCCAATGCAATATTTCTTTCTTCTTCTGCATGATTTTTTGTTAGAAAACAGGTTTTTTTCTCTCTCCGTAGATGGTTTAATTCATTCTGAGACTAAAAATACAAAATTAAAAAAATGTTTACCCGGCCTTTACTATTTTAAATAAACAACTCAAGGTGTTGAATTTATGCTTTTTCCTCTTCCTATTTTCCCCATAACAACCACATGAGTTGAGAGGAGTTGAGAGACACTGTCTGGCCCAAAGTCACCTAGTCAGCAATCATGCCTAAAGCAGGACTAGAACTCACAGTGTCCTGGCTTCAAACTGGCTCTCTAGTTTTTGAAGAAGTCATTAAATACATTATAATTCTATTGCAATTTTTAAAAGGCAAGAACAAAAAGCAAAGCATACAAAAAGAAATTAAAAGAAAACAATACCCAGCATACTACTTATGAAATGTATAATACTAAACTGAACCCAAAAAAAGAACATCAACTAGAAAAACTAATATATATATATATATATATATATTGATATTTAATGTAATACCCTTATAAAACTAATATATTATATATTTGCAATATTTTACACACACACACACATGTATATATATATATACATACATACATACATACATACATACATACATACATACATACATATATACACACAGAAAGTTTTTTCCAGACAGACCAGTCTGATTGATGCACCTTGGTATTATGACTGCTATACTGCAGTTCTACTTATAATCACTTTTGCCTTGCAGCCCCCCAAACTAGGGGCATTAAGCAGGCTCAAGTCGCTACTGCGATAGATTACAAATCCAATTTTTTTTTTTGTTGACAAAGAGTTAAAGAGTTAAGTGGGAGACTAGAATAAGCTCGAAATAGCTATTCTAGTCTCCCACTTACCGTAACTCTTTAACTCTTTGTCAACAAAAACGAAATTTGGATATATATATATATATGTTTTCTGAGGTTTTCGCGGGTGTTTGTATGTAGGTCTTTAGTTATTCGGGTTTTCTCCCGCGTAGAATTAGAAGTGTCTTGGCGATGTTTCGACGAAGTCACATTCGTCATCTTCAGGCTGGTGTCTTCAGCTTCGTGCTTCTGGGAGTAAACAAAGCTGAAGACACCAGCCTGAAGATGACGAATGTGACTTCGTCGAAACGTCACCAAGACACTTCTAATTCTACGCGGGAGAAAACCCGAATAACTAAAGACATATATATATATATATATGAATGCTTTTTGAACACCCTGTCGGCCCCAAATATGGGGGAGAGAAGTCTTTTGCCTGTATCAGCTCAATCCAGAGCCATCCACAGGCAGCAGTCGCTTAACTGCGACATCATATGTGTTTTTCAAAATTTGGATTGCTAACAAAGAATTAAGGGAGTACTGGGATAGCTATTTCAGACCTTATTAGGTTTTCATCAGCCAGACATACCCTTGCTGAGATTCGAACCTGGGCTGTCTGCATGTTAAGCAGAAGTGTTACCCCTAGGCCACAGGCTCTTTCTCACTTTGTTAGCTACAAGAGACAGGGGAAGAGGATGAATGCTTTTTGAACACCGTCGGCCCCAAATATGGGGGAGAGAAGTGTATACACACACACACACACACACACACACACATGTCTTGAGTTGGGTTTTTTTGACGCACCATGTAAAATATTGCAAAATGTCTCCCAAAGAGAAATATTATTTTTTGATTATTAGAAAATGTAGCCTCTTCAAAAATGGATTCATTTCTGGATTCAATCTTTGATAACTGAAGTAATAATATTTTCCAATCTCTCAATATAAATTTCTTAAGTATTCCCCATATAAGATAAAACCAATACACTTCACTTTCCACAATTTTGTAATATTATTGAAAATAACTTTGACATTTTAACTTGAAAACATTTACACAGACATCTATTTATATGTGCTACATATTCTTTAAAAAGAAACTGGACTTGACCAAATTAGCTAAATATATCTTCAAATTTCCTACATTGCAAACCAAGAAAACCTGGTTCCTAAATTTAACATTACCAAATAATTAATTTAAAGTAACTATTCCAGACTTTGTCTTTCTACCTATTTTTAAAGTATTTTTTCCTTCATGGGAAAAATTAAAACTATATATTAAATAATATTACATATTATTGTTTTAATTATCAATATATATTATATTATCATATTAATACAAGCTCATATTAATATCAATGTAGTAAATTTGATAAAAGTTAATATGTATTAACAATATTAAATATTAATATTAAATATTCAGGAGGCTTAGTATCAAAACTCAATCTGCTTCCAATAAACATCAAAGTCTAATTGCAATAACCCAGGAAATGAATAATATATTAAACATATATGCCACCTGACTCAATAGCTCTGGGCAGCTCACGCAAATCAAAGTAAATACAATACGCTTAGCCAAGTAATTACTAGACTTTTAACAGAGATACACAATAAGTATATGTATTTTCATGCATATACTTATGCAATGCATTCATGAACTATAAATATGAAATTATGTTGGATGGAATCTCATTCCTTTCATAGAAAGCAAAATATGTGTCATAGGATAAATGATTATCCAATATCGATTAGTATTTTGTTCTGCATTTACATTCTTTTTTCTCATTCTAAACTGGGGTTTGCAATAGTTCAATAAATCTAGCTTCTTTTTGACGAGACTGCAGATTTTCATTACATTAGTTATATATTACTCTGGATCAAGGTTATATTTATTTACCTGTTCATAAAGGATACTTAATTTATCTTTTTCTACAGTTAGTAGTTTGACATTAGACTGAATTTCTATCATATGCTTTTCAAATCTGTCTAGCATAGACTGTAGCTCATCTCTCTCTCGTATAACTAACCTAAGGTCTTCACTCTGCAAAATAAAGGGGGGAAAAAGGAAAAAGTAAGAATATGCTTTATATAATATATGTTCACTCATATTACTAAACAGATCAATAACATACATATTATTAATGACAGGACTGCAGTCCAAAAACAATAATCATTCCACGCTTTATAAATCAGGGTTTATTTAGCAAGGAATCATACAAAACTAGCCCTGGATTGTATTGTTAATATTGTCCAGAATTGGGGAATTCTGATTTTATGTCAGTTATCTAGCCAAGATCTCAATATTCAAGCATAGCACTAAAACTTGGTTAAATACATTCTGAACTTTCAGCCTGCAGATCTATTTTACCTCCTCAGGTAGGACCGTGAAACACCCTGTTAATATATTTATTATGGGTAGTTAAAACAAGTCAGTTTCTAACCATTTGCTGCCCAGATTCAAATGCAAATTGCAATTAGGCTAAAAGAGTTTCCATCTTCTCCTGTGGCCATGTTAGAGAGGGAGGAGAAAAATACACAGGCTTGTTGTTCACATATTTTTGTTAATTATAGGGAAATTACTAGATACCTTTACAAATGATATAAATGCTTTTCTATAACAAAATTGCTTTGAGGAAATAGTAGCATTTTCTATTTGGCCTTTGTTTACTGAAGTCTTTTTAAGAATTTCATAAAAAATATGTCAATAAAATAGGTAAAGATAGAGCTACAAATAATTTCTAACCTAATTACAGGTAGTCCTCAACTTATGACCATAATTGAGCCCAAAATTTCTGTTGCCGACAAGACATTTATTAAGTGAACTTTGCCCCACTTTATCACGTGGTTACATGGTTGTTAAGCGAATCTGGCTTCCCCATTGACTTTGCTTGTCAGAAAGTCACCAAAGGGGATCACGTGACCCTGGGACACTGCAACAGTCATAAAAATTAGTCAGTTGCCAAGCATCTGAATTTTGATCACGTGACCATGGGGATGCTGCAGCAGTCAAGTGTGAAAAACAAGTATGTCACTTTTTTCAGTGCTGTTGTAACTTTGAACAGTCACTAAACCATGGGTCGGCAACCTGCGGCTCCCGAGCCACATATGGCTCTTTGAGCCTTCTCCTGCGGCTCCCAGCCTCCTCTGCCATTTGCAGAGAGAGACAGAGACAGAGGCACTTGCGCTTCCCTTCTCTCTCTCTCTCTCTCTCTCTCTCTCTCTCTCTCTCTCTCTGTGTGTGTGTGTAAAAAAGAGAGTGGCCTCACGCTGTTCTCCGACGAGCTGACAAGCTTATTGGGCGGGACTCCTGCCTTGGCTGCATCTCTGCAGGAAGCAGGAAGGGCAGGAGAGAGCCAGCCCAGAAGAATGTGTGTCAGCTTGTTGGAGAACAGCGTGAAGCCAGCTTACCAGGTGAGCAGAAGATTGGAGACAGGGAGAGAGAAAGGGGGAGAGAGAGAGAGAAAGAGAGAGAGGGAGAGAAAGAGAGGGAGAGAGAAAGAGAGGGGGGAGAGAGAAAGAGAGGGGGGAGAGAAAGAGAGGGAGAGAGAGAGAGGGAGAGAGAGAGGGCAAGAGAGAGAGAAAGAGGGGGAGAGAGAGAGGGAGAAGAAAGAGAAAGAGAGGGAGAGAGAGAAAAAGAGCGCGAGAGAGAGGGAGAGAAAGAGTGAAAGAGAGAGTGAGAGAGAGAACTCATGCACAGCACCCTCTATTTTTTTAATTAAACTCTTCAATCAAGCCCCCCCTCCAGTGCACGCGCACTAAACAAACTGTTATAAGCCAAGGACTATCTGTAGCTGAAAGAGATTAATCATGCTTATTAAGAAGGAAATATTGAATTCAATAAAACTGGGGATCAAAGTATGCTAATATTTCGATACTAACCATGCTACATTACCTCATATTTAACTTTAACTGGGGAAAACTAGTTTTTTTCCCTTATTAAAGTGTACATTATTATTATTATTATTATTATTATTATTATTATTATTATTATTATTATTATTATTATTATTATTTGATTATATATCTAAACAGTTGAGGATGCTGCCTGACTACATCATTTCTACTGCAGGTAGTCTTCCACTTACGACCACAATTGAGCCCAAAATTTATGCGGTTAAGTAAGAAATTGATCGAGCAAGTTTTACCCATTTTATGACTTTTCTTGCCACATTTGTTAAGTGAATCATTGCAGTTGTTAAATTAGTAAAATGGTTGTTAAGCGAATCTGGTCTCCCCATTGAGTTTGCTTGTCAGAAAGTCGCAAAAGGGGATCACATGACCTGAATATAAATCACGTGACCACAGCAGTCATATAAGTGTGAAAAACGGTCGTGAGCCGCCACTTTTTTCAGCGCTGTTGTAACTTTGAACGGTCACTAAATGAACAGTTGTAAGTCGAGGACTACCTGTACAATCCTTTTCGGTTTACTGGCTGCTAACAGCTGTTGTGAAGTAATAGGCAGCTGTGATCTGGATTTCCTATTTGATTTCGTAGTCAGGAGTGACAAGGATGCAAGTTGAGTGCAGAGGAGGAGGAGAAGACATTTAAAAGAAATGAGGCAAGAAATAAAACCTGCTGAAGTATGCGCTTCAAGGTGTTAGTAACAACTTTTAAAGCGCTCCATGGCAATGGACCTAGGTATTTGCAAGACCGCCTCCTACCAAATATCTCCCTTCGACCAGTCCGCTCCCATAGAGAGGGCCTCCTTAGGGTACCGTCGGCCAGCCAATGCCGGCTGGCGACCCCCGGGGGGAGAAGCCTTCTCTGTGGCAGCTCCTGCCCTCTGGAATGACCTGCCTCCCCGACCTACGTACAATTGCAGACCTGCGCCTCTTCCGCCGAGCCCTGAAAACTCATCTGTTCCATGCGGCCGGCCTGGCGTAGTTTTGATTGGGTTTTGTTAGGGGTTTTATATTTTAGAGCAGGCTTTTATGTAATATTTACTGTGATTTTTATTATTGCCTGTTCACCGCCCTGAGTCCCGTAAGGGAGATAGGGCGGTATATAAATTTAAATTTAAATAATAATAATAATAATAATAATAATAATAATAATAATAATGATGATGATGATGATGATGAAAACAGCCTTCCCCCTAGTACAGTGGTGGCAAACCTATGGCACGAGTGCCAGAAGCGGCACTCGGAGCCCTCTCTGTGGGCACGCACATTGTCGCCCCAGCCCCGTGTCCCCCCGCAGCCCACTCACCAGCAGCCCCCCCAGAGGAAAGTCACCCCCGGGTGCGGCCCACACGGAGCAGCGCAGCCAAGCATATGGCAGCTGGGCAGCACATGATGTGGCCACCATGGCACTGCAGGGCCACC